TGTTTGTCCAAAACAAAGCAAACCAGTCTAGTTGTAAAGTATGTCAGAAAACAAAGTATGAAATAAAGTATAAATATTGCAGTTAAATAAACAGGTATAGTTAAAAACAATACATTATATAAATTTATGAGTGTAAAAGTCAATGGATTTGTATGGTCAGTCATAATTCCCAGGTTTTTTCACTCCTGAGGTTCTGTGCTCTACTTCAGTTTATGTGTTACATAAATTAATGTGTTGGGCACATCATTAATAATAATGTTTATTATTTCAACTATTATCTAGTTTTCCATTTTATGTCCAATCTTATAGCTTAATTTCCTTTTTTGTGTCATTATTTTTCTTGTTTTTCCATAGTGTGTATTTATTTATATGATTTTTATTTACCATCACATTTTATTTAGATATTTTGCATTTTTCTACTTTATAAAATATTATCATGTATTTATTTAATTTTTTTTTCAGGGTCTGTCCTACATACAGATCTTGTTACATAGCTTAAATGTAAATATACTAGTCGCACTTAAATGCTACTGTGAAATTAAAATCAATTTCTTTCAACAGTACCTGTGTTTTGAGATACTTTTAAAACATAAATATCTCCATTTGTATCTATGTTTTTAATATATATATCATATAATATTTTGACATTAGTCACTTACCTCGAATTTGTTCAAAGATCAGCTTCATATTTTCTATGCTTGGATACTCCATAAAACGTATATCTATATTTCCTGAAAAAGAGAAGATAATGTTTGTTCCTCTCCCAGTAAAAACACAGATAAGCTTTACAATAATACAGAATTGTTCCATCATGTCATATGTGCTTGTGTAAATAACATTTATAAAAACATATTTATTTTATTACCTCATTATATATGGTATATATAACTCGGTATATACCACATGCTAACACAACTGTGTACTTGCAAATAATCTGTCATTGTCAAATTATACAGACCGTCCCTCTCCATTTTATTAGTGTGATTATTAAATAATTTTCTGTAAAACATGAAATAATATATTCATTTATTGAATCATTCAGGAATTCTTTTGTCTGCACAAATGGGTTTGAATTTGCTTAAAGAATAAAAACAGCCTCTCCTTTCAGGAGATTATTAACATTCCCCAAAATAGTTTTTACCTATAAACAATGTGAGTAACAACAAAAAGATCATTAATTATGAGAGCAAACAGTACATTGGGTTTGGTTTTTAAATTTATCCAATTTTAAGTGATTTAAGTCATTGAGTTTTGTACCAGGCATTAAGAGCAAGGGCGGTTCTTCAGGGTTTGGATCAGAGGTATTTCCACCTGACAGAAAGAGAGACACAATAATAAAAAATTTACATTTCTGATATGTTTATTTGATTTGAGGTGAAAAATGTTTTCAAAGACTCACAGTTTACCCAAATATTTTCTAAATCTAATTTGGGCACACAAATGTATTCACAGAAATATTTTTAGAATTTAACCCAACAATTTGAAATAAAATTTTTAAGATAATATACAACCTATATCAGGGATTGGGTACGGAGGCGGGTAAACTTCTGGATCAGAGGTATTTCCACCTGACAGAAAGAGAGAGTTTTTCCACAAATATCGCCAATGTTATCTCTGTGTAGACATGTCTGTGCATCTTTTAAATTCACAATTTAATACATTATGCCCTAAATCATCCACAAGCAAAATGGAGCCACCAGGAACCTTTTAACCTCCTTGGTGACATCCGCAGCAGAGATGGGAGAGTCTGAACTAAAGTTTCCAAACTCCAATTCCTCAAATGGGGGATATTATGGAGGTTTATTGTGGTTGCCTATGAATAGCTAAAACTTACAAATACTTATACCTCCTCCAAAAACCCTTACAACTACCTATGTTATTAGTTTAAACACGAAATATACCTTATTATGCATTAATGTGCGCAGTGAAAACTATCTTAGTACGACCACAAAAACGAATATCTACATTCCTCATTTTGTAATTAGTGCCAGAAAAATTAAATTCTGCTCCCAAGCTGCATTTTCTTTTGAATATTTTAGATATGTTCTACAAAAAAGAAAAAAATAAATAAATCAGTGGATATGTAAATTTTCCCTGAGTAATTGGGAGTTACATTCCACAGAAAAAAATTGTGACATGACAGTAAAGACTCATATTTTCAGATTTACTCCATTTGACTTGGGTGAGAAATATTTTCAGTTCACCCAAATATTTTACAATTAAGTGTGACAGATTTAAATACATAATGTTCACAGATGCATTTCTACAATTTATGTCACGGTTTTAAAATATGCTTTTGAGATTATGTTTGGTATGATAATTCAACCTTTCAAGAACTTTTACGATGTTAGTTTTGTACCTGACATTTCGTCAAACATTCCGGATGATCCTGGAGGATCTTCAAGTTGTTGTTGTTGTAACGATGAAGTATTTCCATCTGAAAGCAAAAAGTTACTATTACATTCATAAATTGTGCTGAAGACATCTTAAAGTAAATGTTACATGCCTAGACTGGGATATTTGTTGTTAAAAACTAAAAACAACGAACTAAAGAGTGTGTTCATTAGTAGTTCAATTTTAGTTATTGTAAAAAAAGTTGAATATGAAATTATTAATTCAATCACCTTCAAAGAACTAAATACGTGACAATGTTCAATTCATTTGACTTTATGTCACGTCAGCCGATACATTTCCTGCCTAAGTGGCAATAATGTAATTGTGGAGAAGAACAGAGGGGATAGCCATTAGCTCAGGTTTCAACATGGAAATTAGAAATAAATAAGATGGAAGACAAAGCAGAGAAGCTAAAAGGCTTTTAGAAGTAAAAAACAGTTGAGTAAATAAAAAAACAAAAACAGGACAGAAAGAAATCACACATTTCTCCTGTCTCTTATTTTTTTGTTGTTGCCATTTTCCTCCAAATTTATGGATGTAACATGAGATAGAGATTTTGTTTATAACGTTTAATAGCCTATTTTTCCAAAAGCAATGTCTCAACAGCAGATGGGGTTTAAACATTACTTTCCATAAACAAACAACACTTATAAATTGCTAATTTGTAACTGTAACATTAGTTTTAGACACATTATTAGAATTATGTCTTGAAAAATAAAGATGTTTCCACCACAGTTTGAGAGGGGCAGCCATATTGAAACTCAAAGTAGTCTGAGTTTCTCCCACTTTCTCAGTGGGAAGCCCAACTTCTCTGTACAATCTGGTTGATTTTTCCAAATGGGAAGTCAGAATCTGACTGTGTGCGCTTCATTTTTTATTTTTAAATCATTTGAAAACTGCCTACTCCTGTTGTTGCTCTGCAAATCAATCAATCAGATTGTTGATACTCCCAAACGCACCAGACAAAAATCCAAAACTGGTGACAAATATTACAGGATAAAATCTCTGAAATATTCTTTATAGAGAATGTTAGTAAATCCATCCATCTATTCTCCATTACTCCTTATCCTTGTATTTTAAGCTGCATTAGATTGAAACACTGATGTTTTTAATTATTTACAACTACCTCTCTCAAAGATTTACAGATAGTGATAGTACATATGATCATTTGTATTTTCTACTTTCTTTAGTAACTGGTATAAAAGTAACCCAGAACTTTTAAAATAAATAACTTGATTTTCAATGTTTCTTCTCAAAAGTTATAACAAGCATACTTTTATTAAAGTTAATTATTTTGTTAAACAAAGCAAACTGTGTCACTGATCTGTGAATGCTTCCTCTACTCCTTCCACAAAAAACTTCTTTCATGTTACTACAATTCTAGAAACTCTAAAGACATGAAATATGTCACAAACTGTGCGATAAAATTAAAAAAAATTAAACCACATATTTTATTGTACACCTCTATGCATTATCTTTGCTTACCTGTAAGGAGGAACAGAGTAAAGAAACCTGCGAGAATCATGGCTGTGAGGCTGGTGAGTTTCTCTGCTGACTGAGTGAAGACGTTGCTTTCATGTCTCTGCCCTGCCTGTACAGGAGGGAGGGCAGGGCTTCCAGCATTTGTTCCCCACAGAAAATTACATTATGTTGTTTTTTTAATTGTAGGATCTGAATTTAAAATATCTGGTGCAGTGGTTTTGAGTTTCCTGAGTCTGCTGTATGTTTTCAAAACCAACATCATAATTTAAATCAATCATTCAACAAATTTAATGATAGTGAGATTAAGGAAACGGGAAACATTTGCTACCACAAGAAAGGAAGAACATTTCATAAAATGCTTCTTATCGATAAATAAAACAATACAAATATGAAATCCACAATTAAAAACCATATCGATCTTCTAAGCTAATCAATAAGTACTAATATTTGTAACAAGATTAAATAGTTATGCAAAAAGACCAACTGTTTTTTTTTCTTCTTTTTTTGTGGTTGTACTACATCGAAGAGTTTAGTGCTCCCAGTAACCACTGACATCCACATTAAGTTTTTTAGTAGCAAGATGTGGGAAAACAAAGCTTTTAGATGAACATATTAATTATTTACCAGAGCAAGATCTCTGAAACAAAACCAAAGCTTATAGTAATAGAAGACAATGGGATTACGAAAAATACATCTTTGTCGTAAATGCATTTATGTTTGTGTGTGTGTGTGTGTGTGTGTATATCTAGTCAATGATTCAACAGCAGCTGACAAAGCAAATACATACTGTAGTTGTAAGTAGAAGCCATTAAACCAGTCTCTATATGTTGATGATAAGTCAGTTATAAATCCTGCATAAACCTCTTTAAAACAATGTTTGCATTAAAATGTCTCTGTAGATTAACCTCTTACTGAAAGAGCATTAAAGTGGAATATTGTGAATATTTGCTTTGTATTATTTTCTAGTTTAAGTGTCTACTTAACACTCAAAACATAAATCTGTTTATCTTCTGACTTTGCAAAGTTCTACTAACTCTGACCACAATGAAAATTATAAATGAACACTTCCAGAAAGAAAACAATGATGGTAAATTGATGAGAAGTGCTGAGGGTGTTGGCCTCGTATGACAGTCATATCATCAGAAAAAGCTTTAAACAGTTCAGAGAAGAGAAAGCTCCCCTCAGATCTGAGCCATGCTTCTTGCATTCATCTGTTTTCTGCTCTTTGCAGGTAAGCTAAGATGATTTTTGTTTGAGACTCATATGATCATTAATAATGCAAAATATATTGTACTTTTCTTCATTATGTAATTAAAGTGAGATTTTTTTTTAATTAATGCTATTTGCTTCAACCACTAAAACTTCATCTATTGCACAGTGAATGAGGAGTTTACTGAGAAATATCTAGGGCATAACTTAAAATATAAAAAAATCAGAGGACTCAAAGATTTTGAGAATGAAATTTTTATTCTACTAATTTTACAATCGATTGTTGTTGAATGTCTGTTAGAAGAGCAGGAAGAGTTTCACCTTTCCTTCTGCTGTTTAGTTTATGGAAGGAAATGTGATTGTCCTGTTTGGATTTTCATGAAAACTCAGTGATGCATTCTGACCTTTGTAATTTTTTTTTTTTTTTTTGTTCTTTGGTTTGTTTTTTCAGTCATGACCAACCAATCAAACTTGTTTGACTTTTGTGACCCATTTTCCAGCGTTTAATAATTGAGCTTAACACTCCTTAGCGAATTGGCAGTTTGGGGAGATCTTCCAATAATGTCCTGTTTTTATATTCCGATTTGGAATATGCCTTGCAAACATTTTCCTTCACTTTATAGTTTGGAACATTTTTGTCAAGACTCTGGGTTTTTAGGTTTGTTTTTGCTTTTCATTTTATTTATCAATTATGTTTTAGTTCACTCTTTGATTTGTTGTCATTAATTTCTTGTTAATTCTTTCTCATTTTTGTGTTTCTTTATTTCAGTTCATCATACTGTTTCCAGTTATCTTGTCACTCTGGGTTTAGTGATTCTTTTATGTCTGAGACTACGTCTATTGTTCTATAGTGATTCTAGATGGGTTATTTCTTTGTTTAGTCCTTCTAGTTATTCTAGCTCTGTGTTTCTTAGTTCCTGTTATTTTTAGATCTGCCTTGTTTCTGTCTGGTTCTTAGTTTCCCCTCATGTCTTTGTCTCTTTATAGTTTATTATGTTTCCTTTAGTCTTAATGTTTCTTTATTATTAGAATAATTTCCAGCTCATTGTGTTTCCTCCCTCACTCTTTTGTGTTCCCCTGTATATCTTCCCTGCTTCCCTGTGCCACCTTCTCCCCGCCCCTCAGCCTGACTCCTGCTCCAACTATTCACACCTGCAGTAAGTTACCTCATGGTAACTATGACCATTGTTTCCACTTTCCAGTACTTTGGTTCCTCTATTTCAGTCACAACTTGCCAGTTCATCACTTCCCTGATATTCTAATCACCTTTCCTTTCCTTGTTCCTGCTTCATGGTTCCCTCATGTCTCCATATTGGATTTATGTTTACTCCTTAGACTTTGTTTTTCCTGAAAGTTTTTATTCTTGTTTTTTCTTATTAAAGTTTCAAACTCACCACATCTCCTGCCTGCTCCAACTGGGTCCACTGAACACTTCATGACAATTTTGTCACTACACAAATGGGAATTTTAATATTTTTATTTGTTTTTGTTTTTTTGTGATAGACCAACACAAAGTGATGCATTATTGTGAAATAACATGAACAATTGGTTTTCAGATTCTTCTCTACCTAAAAATCAGAAAAATGTGGCCTACATTTGCATTCAACCCTCGTATAAATCCATTCTCAAATTTTTTTTGTTTGAAGATGGATAGTAACATGAAGTAACACTATAGTAACACTATATGATCTCTGTTGTCAGGTGGATTAACGTCCAGTTTGGAAATACAAGATGACCTTCACCACTCTAATCAGAGTTACACAGAACTATCAGGTAGGAAATGTAATCTAATGGTTTCTCTCTGAACGGTAATTATCATCATCAATTAATTTTCTTACTGTAAGATTCATTGCAGCCATTTTGTTTCTTTGTATAAGTGAAGTTTTTATGAATTTGTCATCATCTGGTCAACATAAAAGTGGATGCTACTGCTTAACATTTTTATATCTGCGCACAGATCAATACATTTATGAACCATTTAATCATGAAAAGTGTGATTATGAAATGTATAATTTACAAATAGATAATTTTGTGTTTTTTTTCCATGACAGATGGGAATACCACAAGTTATAATAGATCGGATAATAATAATCAGACATCCAATGAGAGACCTGATGAAACTGGTAAGACCAAAATAATGTTTCTGACCACAAAGGTGCAAAAAACTATTTAAATATTACTGGATAACTTTGCTTTCAAAGCATTTTGGCCAACAGTCTTCATAGCAGAAGAATATTGTAATGGTGACTCATATTTTCAAAAATGGCATTAAATTAATATAAACATCCCATTTATTATTCCTCTGAAAAACAACCTAACACATTGCAGAAGCTTCAGGTTTAAGGTGACGTTTTTCCCCACAGTGACACAATATTAGTGAAATACTGAATGTTTTTCTTGATTTTGATTAAAACCAAACATTGGAAACTTTATTTACATTGTCCTAATCCCTACAGGTTAATCTGGGAATTTGTATGATTTGCGTGTGATTGGATTGTTGTCTCTATAATCTTAAATAATGTTATTTATATTTACAGTTAATGTCCATCTTTACCCCCATTTGATTTATTTATTTTTTATCTTCTACTGGTGGTTTTAATGTTGTTGTTTGTTTTTTTTCCAACTAATCTATTGTCAGTTGAAATGTTCTCATTTGCACTTTTATTCAAAGCCAGAATTCATGCAGATTTCAATGAAACAACACAGATTTTAATTCAGTGTCTGGATTTGTCTGAAATGTGGCTAGAATTGATGAAATATAAGTTTAAAAATGCTAAGTGGATAATTATGACTTGATCTCTTTTTTATATATATAATTTAAACCTGAATCAGTCTTTAATGTAAATATTTATTGGTTATGACCAACCACAAGAATACTATAGTACAATTTTCTAATTTTACAAAAACTCTTGCCTTTCTGGTGAATTTGGTGCAGAATAATGGGTTTTCTGTTTTTGTAGAAACTACGTGTACATACTGGGACGTTGTAGAGTACCTAAACCTGACCGAGAACAAGGACAAGTTTACCATGATCAGACCTACCAGTGACTATAAATCTGAAACTCTAGTTTACATTGAAATGAGGATGTATGCCATTCTAGATGTGGTAAGTTCTTCTTATTGTTCTCGTCTTAAGTTGTCATTTTATTTTTGTTTGAATTCATTTTAGTTTGTTTAGCTTTGAATGTGTGGTTTAGTTATCTTATTTTCAAGTAAGAATAATTGTTTGAAGTCATATTTACTGTGGTTCCCATGTTATCATATTGCCAGTTGTTTAATGTAGAATATTAAGAACTGTTTGCAAGATCTTAAATTGTTTGATAACAAAATCCGTATGCCAGATAATGGCTTTGGTGCATGCACATTTAAGAATGTACAATGAACTACATGTAGTATCAAACCTAGTATGAAAATCTAAACTAACTTCTGGCCTAAAAGTATTAATTGCAATCTATTCTAAATGTGTAATAACTGGTAATATTTCTCTTTTTTCTTTATCCAGCGAGAAGCCGACCAGTCCTTCATATCATATATTTGGATTTATATGGTGAGTTTTCTCAGGAAAAATTCAACATTTCTGAGAAAACATAACAAATTAGCTGATGTTTGATTAGTAATCAACCCATTGACTCCATTTTGATTTTCTCTCCCAAGGAGTGGGAAAATGACTTTCTCTCGTGGGATGAAGAGGACTTTTGTGGAATTTCCGAAGTAGTGATTCCACGTGAATCTTTGTGGATGCCTGATGTTATAATTGAAGAAATGTAAATCTGCTCATGTTATGTTTTAGGTTATTTGAGTTTTTCTGGGTTTGTAGTTTGTTGTTCTGTGTTCCTTAGTTCCTTATTTTTGATTAGGTGAGCCTTTGTTTTGTTTTACTTTTAGTTTAGTCTTATGTTTGTTCATTATGTCTAGTTTTTCTTTGTTGTAGTTAGATTATTTTCTCTGTTCCCCTGTTAGTGTGCTCTCCTTTGGCCCCTGTGTCTTCTCTCTCTCTCTCTCTCTCTCTCTCTCTCTCTTAACTGTGCTAACTTTTTAAAGTTAGATTTCCTTGTTAGTAACACTTTATTTGAAGGGGGGTGAATAAGACTGACATGACACTGTCATAAACATGACATAACACCTGTCATGAACATGAATAAGCCTTCATGAATATTTATGACTGTTGTCATTTGGTAAATTATGACACTTTTAATACAAAGTTGACATTATTCAAAATGTCTTTGTTATGATAACTTGACATTAACCAACAAATCATTACTGATATAAATTCGTTATAAAAGTATTACTGATTGCACTTTAAAATTAGGTAACTTTATATTATTAATGGTAAAGTTTAAACATTCATGAAGGCTTATTCATGTTCATGACAGGTGTTATGTCATGTTTATGATAGTGTCATGTCAGTCTTATTCACCCCCCTTCAAACAAAGTGTTACCTTTTTGTTTTACTTACACTTAGACATAAATTGTTAAACTCCAGTGATGCACAAACATAATTTACATAAACATTTTAGAAAGTCAAGTTATCTCATGGTCTGAAAGAGGCTACTGACCAAATGGGTTGATTTAATGTTGGACCTAACCCTTTTATTTACTTACAGGACTGAAAAGGATAAAAACCTGCCAAGCCCCTTTGTCACACTTAGTGAGAGTGGCTGGGTGGTATACAGGGATGATGAGTTTGTGATCAGTACCTGCAAGATGAAAATTTTTAATTTCCCCTTTGACATTCAGAGCTGCAGCATTACCTTTAGGTCTCTCTCCTACTCTGGTAAGCCTTGTTTACATGTGCCTTAAAATATTAGCATTTTAAATGTGAAATGTGGCTTCTAGTATTATTGAGCTATTAAAAGTAAACCCTAACCAATTAAAAATATATATATCTTATGTGTTTTAATTATTTATACCGTGTGACACTAACATTTAATTATTAGCATAATGCCAATTAACTCCAAAAGATGGGAGTAGTGACACATAAGGGAAAGTTTTACGTTGTAGAAGATCAGCAGATGCTGTCATCTCCAGCAGGACCTCAAATTGTGGCAGCAGCAGCTACAAGCTCCCCTTCTGGTGTCAGCTGCCACTGCTACCTGAAGCTGCACAACTTACTAGTGTCAGCTTTTGGCAATTGTGGCATCTGCCATGGCTTCTATGGCAGATTGAATTTTGAATATAAATAAATGTATTTAGAAAAAAATCTATTAAAAACAACGAATACAAATACATATGTATGCAGCCAACATTGATTTTGTGGCAGTTGCCATGGAAAACGTGGCATCTGAAGTAGTGGCACCGTCAAAACCGTTGCACTTTCTGGCAGGTGTCACTGAAGTAACGGGATCTGCCACAAAGCCATGTCAGCTGTCACGGAAGCTGTTTTCACATGAATTTGAATTATGTAATCTCATATTTATTACTGAATCAATCTGCTGTTTGTTTTTTCATCACAGAAAAAGACCTAACCTTTGTCATGAAAAATAACGATGCATTAATCACGAAGGACTCTCAAAAGAATATCCGGATGCAGTACGAATGGGAGTTTCTCAGTATGTCAGGCACTAGAAAACCTGTCCAGAACTTTTACACCAACCAAACTGTTGTTGTCTACACTGTAAGTATTTTGAAGATCAGACTTTCTATTTTACTACTATTCTATTCTTCTATTTTACTTTCCCTGTGCTGAGCCAAGTCACGCTGTGTTCTCCACCTGATTTAGGATGATTTAAGAGACAAATTCAATTTGTGTCTCCCTGCAATAAAAGCAATCAGATCCGTCTGAAATGTTATTTTTAGTTCATGAATTCTTTCATTTCTTCTGTTGCTGGGCTCACAAAAAAATCCTCAGTGGATACTATACGATAGAGACACTGCCTTTTGACAGACATGTGAAACAGTAAGGCTTTCCCTTCTGAATTCTTGAAGTCTACATTGGCATCAGATTACCGGTGTAAAATTGTTTACTTTTAGCATTTTACATTTACTTTTATTTCTTAAAATAAATTTTGATTGGGTGTGGGGTGGCACAGTGGTAAAGTGTGCAACCTAATTTGAGTCCCAGTGTTCTAACCCTCTGTGCTACCTCATCAGATTTTCCTACCATAGCACGGATAGATAGCTATGTCTGTCAGTGCTACTCGTCCAAAACTGCTACTGTCATGTTTGCAATCTGAAAACTGTAGCGGGTTGTGTTAATGTTAAATATATTGGATAATATTATTTGAGTGATGGGACTGAAAGAGAAGCTTAGGAGAATGCTTAGCTTAGCTTTGCTAACAATTTATATACATGACAAAACCACAAAAAGTTCACTTCCTTCATCTGAATATCCTACCCATTTAAAATGAAAAGCTATAGATGTATGCACTAATGCTTTTATTGGATTATTCTGCCTTTTTAAAAATATGTTTAAAGTCAAAGGTATTTGTAAGAATAAAACAGTGTCAGAAGGGAAACAGGTTTTTATTGGAATTAAACACACACATCTACAAATATAGATCACGGCAACTCTTCTTTGCGTATTAATACATTGTATGTCAGACTTTATGAAACACAGCGCAGAAACAATGTGTCCACTGAACTGCGCAGGTCACTGTGCACTGGAAATGATAGGATATGCTTAATATACACTAATATTACATCGCTATTACACAGCTTCAATCTCGTATAGTATCACTACCAACATCTACTTAGCAAGGTTTAATAAAGAGTGTAATTAAACTAAGATATTTTAAATTATAGGGACAAAATAGCCCACAAAACGACGTATTTTGTCTTGATTAACCGCCAAACAATAACTTGTTTAAAGTAGTAACGACATTGCAGATGGCAAACTAAAGCCATTTATGAATATATTTCCAAGCTGCCTGTCATGTAAACCAAAAACATGAAGTAATACAGCAGCTTAATGAAAGCCAAGTGTAAAATAAATTAAATAAAATTTACAGTAATGTTCGATGAAATAAAACACATGAAACGAAATTTCCACAGGTAGGACGTATTTATAGGAAATCTGCTGAGTAAGCAGTATGTGACATAGCATCGATGTGTGCATTACCACAAGGCAGGACGGATTTATGGGTAGCACAGATAAAACAATGGCCCACTGACCTTTGCTGCATGTCTTCCTCTCTTCTCACAACTCGCTTTCCTGTCTGAAAATTGTCAAACACAGGCTTTTAATGCTGACAAACCCTTTAAAAATAATAATAAATTAATAATAATTTTGACCGAATATTTTTGTTTTTAAGAATTTTTGCTATTTTTATCTTATCTACTTTGTAGCTAATTGACAATAATCATACAGAAGTGATTTTAACCATGGTGTACCTTATTACAGATAACCATGAAGAGGAAGTCAGCACTTTATGTCGTCAACTTCCTGCTGCCTGTCCTCTTCTTCTTGTGTCTGGACTTTGCCTCCCTCCTGATGTCAGCTGGCAGTGCAGATAAGATTAGTTTCAAGATCACCGTGCTACTTGCTGTTACGGTGATGCAGCTGATTCTCATTGAAATTCTACCTTTTACCTCAAGCAAGATTCCACTTATAGGTAAAAATCTCAAAAGTGTCCATGTAACATGCAGTGACCTGCAGAAGTTTTCCTGCCCCTCAAATCTTTCCTCATTTTGTTAATGTTACAGACTTTAATGTTTAATGTGATAAACAAAGGTGTGCATAACTGTGACAGTTTTCTAAATTTCAAACATGCACAATTGTAAATGCATTAATTGTAATTCATTTTTTTCTTCCCTTTCTCAGGTATGTGCCTCTTTGCATGACCTTTCTAATAAAAATGCAATGAAATACAAACACATTTATGGGTGACAAAATTTAAAAATGTTAAATTGATATGAATTTTTCCTGTTTGACTTCCTAAGCTATTGTTCCATGTTAAATTGAACACTTAACCATTAACTCAAACAGCTACAAACCAAGTTCAAAAGAAGCACTTAAATATGATGGATTTAAATTTAACCTGTATTTGTTCCATAATGAACCATATGAACCAATATTCTCACCACAATGTGTTCTCTGTTCCTTCAAGTGATTTACTGCATTGGGATTTTTGCTCTGATGCTGCTCGGCCTCTTGGAGACCATTTTCTTGAATTATCTGATGGGAAAAGACTCTTCATCCCTGGAAAGCAAGAAAGAGAGTGACAAGCTTCGTAAGAACCAAGATGTTTATGAAGATACAAACAATTTTCACTGCTATCTAAGAGATTAAATTAAATTCAATATAATATCAATCTGATTGTATTTTCTAATAATTTGTGTTAAACATTTCATAATTGAGATACACAGATCCATGAATCTGTTGTGTTCTCCCTCAACTGTCTTCCACTTTCTTCCAGAAATAATAAAAGCTTCCTCCACTGCCTCCACCTGTGATGAGTTGACCGATCAAACAGCATCTACGTGCAAAGGGGTTAGTGTAATTTGTTCAGGGGTTGACAATTAAACACAGTATTCAAGTTCTCATCACAGAAGTTAAACAAAAGAAAACAGATAGTTAGATACTCTCTTGTGATAAGCAATGTGATGACCCATTATCTGGTTTATAACTTCTGACTCTGATTCTTGCAGGGCAGCAGCAGCCAGTTATTCCTGGCCATGGAGAAAGTCTCAGATGAGCTTGGAGAGATGAAAAAAACTTTTCTTGACAAAGAGTCTGAAGAGAATAAGGATGGTTACTGGACCAGAGTCGCCAAGAAAATAGACAAGATTTTTTCCATTCTCTATGTCTTGGCAGCCATTTTGTTTTTATCTGTCGTCTTCTCAGTGTGGCTCTCAAAATCAGATTCATTGGAATGATCCAGATATTAATCTTGAGATCTGAGAAAACACTGATCACGTAGCTGCACTTTGACTAACAAAGTAATTGAAACTCAATAATTACAATTAGTGACGTAAAAACACCATCAAGGTATTGTGCCAAAAAGAAAAATGGTGAAACGTCAGATTGTCACTCTTCTTCCTCCCACATATATTGATTGGTGAATTAAATTAATTACTTGGATTCAGCATTTATGCAATGAGAACAAAAATCCTTGTCGTATTATTATAGAATTGCAATGATGGTTCCCCATTTTGAATATTTCATGTTTTAGAATGTAGAGAAAATTTACTGGTAAACTTTGCAATTTGTGAATGCATGAGGGCAGAAACAAAAAAGCAAATGTGTGGAACTAAATAAAGCTCCTCTATCTCCTCCTGCTGCCACTTGCAAAAATACACCGCTCTTCATCAGAAACAATCATGAGGAGTCTTGGACCATGTTCACACTGCAACCTGAAGTGACCCAAATGAAACTTTTTTTCTGCCAAATTGTCACAGTCACGACAGACTCCGCCGTGGGGGGAGGGCCTTAGTGCAGAAGACAGCAAAGGAGAGGGACATGTAAGGTGTGCTGCTTCACACTTTTTAGTCCAAGTTGAGCATTTTCTCAGAACTAAGCATCAACATTTATTATGTTTTCCTTACAATCCAGAAGATGCCTCTTAAAATTTGTGATTGTAATGGATGGCTAAATGTTTAAAGTCTAATTACTACTATTGTTGTTGCATGTTGTTAAAGTCATACGTAAAATATACACTGACAGACACTGAAATATGTTTGCATGAATTATAACACTCAGTATAACCATGTTTATTTAGATAATAAAATAAGGTTCACTTGAATGTGTAAGTTATGTGAAACTGTCCACTGCATAAAAAAGATTAAATGTGTGGCTTGTGCGGTGTTTTATATGATTTAAAAATAATTTTAGGTAAGGTTTGGTCATTTTATTTATATAGTACATTTTCAGCAACAAGACAATTCAAAATGCTTTACATGAATTAAAAGGAAACACAAACAAAATAAGAAACCAAAGGAAAAAAAAATTAATGTTGATCTAACAGTATATAAACTAGATACTCCTGATCTGGGTTCCTAGATAAGTTTAAGTACGTATCCTCTGGACTTTCTAAGTATTTTAGTAAGTATTTTACTACTTCCTATGTAAGCGGAGGATACAATGTTATATTTATGTTTTCAAAGGAAAAGGTTTACTTATAATTACAGATAAGACCAAATGTTTTTTGGGGTTGGGGGGGGGTAAACAATACATCACCAGCCTTATGGTCCTTGCGACATGAAGGTGTGTGTGCATGTTTGTGCGCAATGTAAAAACTTGGGATTTGGGTTTTTTAGTGTTTATTTTAGATCAGTTTCCCTGTGAGTCTTTGTGGTATCCTGTGTCATTCCCCTTAATTGCTTCCCAGCTGTGTCTTGTTCCCTGATTACCCACCCTGTATTTAACTCCACCTGTTGTCCTTGTCTCTCGTCGGATCCTTGCCGTATGTCTATTGTCGCATGTCAGTTGTTGCACACAGTTGTACTGAGAAGTCCTGTGTTGACTCAGCTCTCGTCTTCAGTCTTTAGTTTTCAGTTGCTACCGGTATTTAAGCTGCTGCTAAGTTTTCTTCCGTGGCGCCTGAACTGGACTGTCTGAGCTGTTCTTAATTAAATCTTCATCATCGCTATCTTCATCTGGGTTCATCTGCATTCTCACCACTTCATGACAAAAACAGTAAAGTAAGCAAGTACTCAAGATTTTTACTGTAGTTACATCTTAAATGCAGACATGAAGCAAAAGTGAGAAAATGCTGATGAATTCAGACATAACTGTTTTATAGCTGTAACATGTACAATTACCCTGAAAAGGAAACATCTGTGTTGGTAATCTGCTCACAATCTTAATAAAGTAAATAATTTTGCTAAACAAAGGAGACTGTCAAAAAAAAAGCACAAAAGCCCTGAATGCTGTTCTTTCTCTCCCTCCGCAAAACAACTGTCATGTTATTACATTTCTGCAAACGCTTATGGACATTGCTATAAAATATGGCACAAACTGCAATAAAATCCAAAAATTAAATCACATATTTTATAGTACACATCTGTACATTATTTTTGCTTATATGTAAGGAGGAACAGAATAAATAAGCCTGCCACAATCATGCCTGTGAGGCTGGTGAGATTCTCTAAGTGAAAATCTTACTTTTGTGTCACTGCCCTGCCTGTACTGGAGAGAGGGCAGGGCTTCCTGTTCCCCACAGAAAATTTTATTCTTTTTTTAATTTTGGAATATGAATTTAAAATATTTGGTGCAGTGATTCTGAGTTTTTTTTTTTTTCTAAAATTCATCTTAAAATCAGGTGAGGGGGATTTTTGCAGTTGCTGTAATTGTAGTGTATGTTTCCAAAACCAACATAATCATTTAATCAGTCATTCAAGAAATTTAATAATGAGGTTAAGGAAACGGTAAACATTTGCTACCACAAGAAAGAAAGAACATTCCAGAAAATGCTTCTTATCAAGAAAAACAATACAAGTAACCACAGGTCCACAGTAGGGTTTTAATAGCAGGATGTGGGAAAACAAAGCTTTTAGATGAACACAGTAATTTTTTACCAGAGCAAGATGTCAGAAACAAAATCAACGTTTATAGTAACAAAAGACAATGGGTTTACGAAAAATACATGTCTGTGTCACAAATGTGTGTGTGTGTATATATATATATATGTGTGTGTGTGTGTGTGTTTGTGTACGTACATACGGACGGATGTGTCCAAGAATCTCTGTCCAGTCAATTATTCAACAGCAGCTGATTATTAAAGCAAACAGATATTGTAGTTAGTAGAACCAGTTTGTATATGTTGATAAGTTAGTTATAAGTCCTCCATAAAACCTCTTCAGTGTTAGTATTAAGATGTCTGTAGATTTACTTCTTCCTGAAATCATGACTTCTTACTGATATATGTATATATATGTATATATATATATATATATATATATATATATATATATATATATATATATATATATATATATATAGTGTATATATTTTTTTTTTTTTTATATTTTTATTGTGTGTGTGTATATTTTCACACACAAAANACATGTGGATTAAAGTGATTACACTAGACCATGTTCTTGTTACACGTCTCTACTTATAGTGACAAATATAACAAATGATGTTTTGTTTTGTTTTTCCGTTTTTTTTCTTCTTCTGAAGACTTTCTGCTTTCCCTTGATCTTGGAGAGCCTGTAATGACGAACAGTCAGTGAGAGAAAGAAAGGACAACCGCCGTCTTCTTCCCCAAACTCTGTCTTTATTACAAATTATTGAAATTATGAAATTATTAACATTTCCTAGAACAATCACATTCCTGTGTCCTTTCTTCTGCTACAAAAAAAACACACACAGCCCTCACCTGCGTAAAAGGTATCAACTCTCACCAATCAATCCAGAGTGCAGCGATATACATTTAAAAACCATTTCTCAAATAAGAGGATTAATTATGCTGAATACTGCAAGAGGGAGATGTAATAATGGACAAAACCTTAAGCTCGCTCTAATGTGTTTTCAATAACTACTGTCCGACTGAATAAACTACAGTTTAATTGATTACATAGCAAGGGAGAAAAAGTAACGTCTTTAGTAATAATAATAATAACAATAATCATAATAATAATAATAATAATAATAACTCCTTTTTAACAGATAAAACAACACAATGTATCTCAGGGTACCAATGTTTAATCGGGGAGTGGAACGGAGCTAAAAAGATACATGTAGCGATCTTCAGAACGGCCGTTATGCGACCGTTGTAGCTAAAATGTAGCTAACTGCGATCCTAACAAATCCTTTTTTCTTTATTTATTTTCAATGTTTCAGCACATCTATCAATCAAATTACAAATCATATCCAAATATACATTGTTACTCCACATTTTAAAAGGGGGGGCAGCCCTCACCAGCTTCACACTACTAACCTGTAATGACGAACAGTCAGTGAGAGAAAGAAAGGACAACCGCCGTCTTCTTCCCCAAACTCTGTCTGAAGAGCGAGGGGCGGGGCTCCTCAATTCCGGTCTCCTGGTGAGACGTTGCCCGAACCTTCGTTACCCTTTTTTTTTAATTTTTTTTTTATTTAAAACCCATATATGTAATTAATTGCAATACTATTAATTTCTGTGTGGTGGCGTATATTTTCTTAAACAGATTTTCTGGACTATCACCAAGTGATAATTAAATTCTCCCACTTTATGGTGTATCACACACTCCCCAACAAACAAAGGTGGCTCCTGACACTTAAGTCTCCAAAATAACTTGACTGAACATACATTTTTTTCAAAACATTGCAAAACAAAAATATGTAGTGTTGTGTGTTGCAGGTCGCTCAAGGTGAGTATACAGTGTATGATGTATGTTTTACAGTAGATGGATATGTAATGTATGGTGTATGTGTGGTTCAGGTATGTAACTATCTTTCCCAAGTGTTCTATCTACAGTGTATTGGACACATAACAGGTAGGTAAGGGTAAGGGCTAATGGGTGGGGGTTGGATAGGATGGAAGTACGGTGAGGGGAAACACTGGTGCATACACTGCATTGGTTGAGTTCCAACTGCATTCACCATGGGGCGCGGCTGGTACACTGGTTGACCCAGAGTCGTGTAAGTGAACATATGTCTCGGTCGTCTTTCTCTTGTAGACCGTCTCAGGGGGACTGGGTGTCCCATGTCAGGTGTTGGAGTATTGTCCTCTTGAGGGGCAGAATGCATGTCCTCCATGAATGTGGACTGGAGCTCCTCAACATATTGTCCATCTCCACTGCTTGACCCCTGCCTTCCACTTCTGACACATTCTCCTTCCTGTCCAGGTTCGGTTGGGATTGCTTCCATCAAACTGGTTTCATTCTCTTCAGCTATCTCTTGGAAAGCATCGGTAGTATTTTGATCAGGAGGGTGACAGCTTGGTCTGGGTCTCTCCACAGGTATTCGAAGCCAGTAACGAGGTGTTCCCTCATCCTCCTCTTCGTCAGAGTCATCTGTGTTTGAGTACAGGACAGCATGTCTGGCCTGAAGGTCGTTAGAACTCTTTTTGGCTTTCCTTTGTGACTCTGCTGTACTTGTGGTCAGGTTCTGGACTGGTTCTATAGGTAAGTCGTTTACCTGTAACAGTAGGTTTCGGTGTAGAGTGCGAACTGGCTGACCTCCTCGCTCAGGGCTGACTTTATAGACAGGATTGTCACCCACCTGCTCTCTGACGATGAAGATCTGTTGCTCCCAGTAGTTTC